ATTAACAATTTATCTTCAGTTGTTATGGAACAGACTTTATATTGGCTAAGACAGTGAATTTTTTTCTTATAAGATGACCTGACCGTAAGAGCAAAAACGTTCGATCTCCTCTAAAACAGGCTAGGGACATGAACTCTTTTTATAATAGGCATAGTTCATCAAGGCCTACAAGATGCACTAAGTCCCGACTCAAAAGTGAACGAGCATCTGGGAATATTCCCTTGTTAGGCGAAAAATAGTGAATCCAGAATCTAGAGATACCCATGTAAAAGAAAAGTGAACCAAAAGTCACTTTTTATCACTTTTAATAGTAATAAAGTAAAACAAAGTAACTTTTCTTACTATTTTTCACTTTTTATAGTACTTTTTGATAATTTTTCCACTTTCTATAGTACTTCCTCATACTTTTCCTACTTTCAAAAGTACTTAACAGTACTTTTTAGTCAAAAAGTATGAAAAGTACTTGAAAAGGTTCACTTATAAGTACTTTGTTCTGCTTAAAACCTACTATTGAAAGTACTTAATAGTCACTTTTTTGGGTAAAAATTTTTACGTGGGTACTGGTGAATTGTCAAACAGATTCGTGAGAGTTGACTAAGATCTGAGATTCTTGGATCCAATTTTTAAATAATGGACATTATGAACAATTCTGCCTTAATCGATGCAGCAATCTGTCAAACTGCTTTATAAAATCCATCATTTTGGTGTGAAAGTATCACGAATGGCAACAGAAATATCGTATCGGAAGATGGGTTCAGACAGCTGCGAATGACTGATATAAAGCAGAGAGACATAGTTAATGTATTAATGTACACAACTTTGAGACATTCTGAATGATAACAGTAAAACATAGATATTATTACTACTCGCTAAGTTCGTACATGCCAAACAAACATATCAGTATTTATTCTCCATTCAACAAAGTTTAATATTCGACTTCTTTCCATTTCCTGCTTGATTGAAAAATTCAAAATGTGATTCTCTATTTATCTAGATGACTTTTAAAAAGAAAAAGAGTTTTTCCAGAGTGTTTCAAGGCTAGTTTTTTGGAAAGTTCTTTTAGAAAGGCTTTCATGTTTCTGAAAGTGACTGCGCTAATGTAGCACTTATTTTTATCTATAAATCTAAATTTTTAGCTCTATCTATTGAAAACTGCCTGACTTGTTTAAAATTACTTGGCCGATTTGATGCTAAACTCGTTAATTTTGAAAGAAACCTAATTATCTCCGAAACGAAAAGGATTTTAAAAAAAAAAGACGAAAGCACTTTTAATCCTCATTATAAGGCGGTTCTTATGGCGTAGAAACCACTTGTTTAGCTCTTTCAGCAAAAACTGCACAGGTTTTCAATATAAAGTAAGCAGATTTGGAAACAGGGTACATGATGTGGAGGTTGGGCTGGGTGGGCTAGCTCACAGCACGTGTCACCTCGTGTCTGCAGAAATTTTAAGTATTTGCTCAAAAACTGTCTGCCAAATTTTAGCCGCTCCCACTTTTGAAAATCATCGAGAGCCTTGTTTGGAAAGCGTTTTGATTTACGCGCAACCAGACTTTCACTTCTCAATGAAAAACCTTGCAGGACTCTTTTTTGATTTTATTTTTCATGGAGAGTTAGAAAAATCATTTTCTTTCGCTATACAGTGTTTTGAAGAAAAACTACAGAGCTTTTTTTCGGAAGTCAATGACTTTTTGGTCCTTTCAGTGATTTTGCATTTTCGCCATGAAGAAAGAGTCTGTTCGGTTAAAATACCGGCATTTGTAATCAGCTCTATTAGATGAATCTAGATATATGTGAATGAGGTAAAACTACAAATCTGCTCGAACTTTGAATTACTGAAACAATGTATTATAGCAATGTCAAACATGTTTTCAATTTTTAGTAGCTACTACAACATCAACAATTGGTGTTGATCTTCCTTTGGAATGTACTGTTTACACTACCATCGATGATTCAACAAGAGTCGTTTCAAATAATATCAATGATGGCTCACAGGCGTGCGATGCATCATTGTTCGATAGTACGCCTGACCCAATTCGTTTCGTGTCACCTGGTGGAACACAAATACCAACTATCTCGCCTGGTGGAAATAACTGTGGTGCTGGTGGAGCTGGTTGGCTAGTTACATCTCATCCTTCCGAAATTGGTCAATCTATTGATGGAACTGTTTGTTATGCAGTTGACAGCAATGTTTGTTGGCAGTCTAATTCAATACAAATCACGAATTGTGGCGGTTACTATGTTTATCAGTTGTATACACCACCTACATGTAATTTACGTTATTGTACAGTTGAATTTCCTGACCAATGTACCAATTACACCACGATCAATGATTCTTCAAGATTAGTATCATCTAATGGTGGATCCGGATGTGACAATTCATCATTTAGCACAGGAATAACTTATGTTCGATTTGTATCTGGATCGGGCAAAGATATGGAAATACCCATGTCCTCACCAGGTCCAAATCACTGTGGCACTCAAGCTACTGGATATGTCACAACTGATTATCCATATTTCCCTAGTCAAACAGTTAATGCAACTGTTTGTTATGCAAATAATAACACTAGTTGTTATGCATCAAATACGATAACAATTACATATTGTGATCAATATTATGTATTTGGACTAACAAAACCACCACGGTATGTATTCTAGACTGGTTAACACGCTAAACGTTTTCTTCTAACGGATAGATACTGGACGTTTTGTCTCCTTTTATTCATTCTGCTAAAGCTAATTTGTTCTTTTTTATGTGTTTATCTTGATATAGCTTGTAGTTTATGATATAAATCGTTTGTTTTATTCTGTAGGTGTCCGGCACGTTATTGCACTATGGATCTGCCTATACAATGTTATAATTATGTTACAATTAATGATTCAACACGTCTATCATCCTACGGGGAGAGTTCATTTGATGATACAACGTTATTTCCTAGGGCTGGCTCTATATCCTATGTACGATTTGTGTCACCAGGTGGAACTCAAATATTAGGAACGCCGACATACGGTAGTCGCTGTGGCACAAGGTATTCTATTTATATTGATACTTCAAATACACCATATCCATCATCAGTTGGTGAAACAGTCAATGCCACAGCTTGTGGGTATTATGGTGGTAATTTGTGCTATGCATCAAATATGATAACAATAACAAATTGTAGCACATATTATATATTTGGTTTAACAGCTCCTCCATTCAGTAGTCCATCACGCTACTGTACGGTAGATCTACCCTCACAATGTTATAGTTATCGATCAATCAACGATTCAACTCGTTCAATTTCCAATCTTGTCAATGGAACAGCCTGTGATCAATCATTGTTTACTAGCAGTAATATTAGTGCTCCCACATATGTACGATTTATCTCATCTAATGGAGCAATTTATAATTATGCGCCAGGTGGTAGTAATATGTGTGGTACATCGTTACCTGGTTGGACAAACTCTACTTTTCCTACTAATCCTGGCGATACTGTTAATGCAATTGTATGTTATCAATATCTTACTCGTTCATGTTATGTTTCAAACACAATAACAATAACAAATTGTGATTCTTTCTACGTGTTTGGATTGACAAAACCACCTAGATGTCCAGCACGTTACTGTACAGGTTAATCAGAAGAAGAAGAAAAATAGCAAGAACTTTCAATAAAGACATACGATAGTATGCACGATTTTACTTTACTTTGACTAACACATTTTTTTAACCATCACTAACTATGATTCTCTGCTTTACTTTTTTCCAAAAATTTTATTCACGTTTGCTTGCGTTTGTGGTGTGTCAGAGTCCTTTATTATTTGAAAAAAAAATAAATATACTCATTATAAATTATCTATTAACCAAAGAAAGTAGAGTTGAACGCAAAGCAAGTCTATCTTTCCATAGATTGCACTAGTCCCGTCTAAATCATGATGACTATTCAACTGCTATTTCTCTTTCGGTTGCTGTTGTTATTATTCGATTCACTCTGAAACCAATTGAATGCAGAAATCTTACTAGTACACCAAAGATCATTGAAAAGGCAACAGAATCAATGGAAAACGGCTGAGATTTGTATAGATTCTTGTTTTGCGACTAGGATGATTATCAAATAGTAATTAATTTAATAGACAAATTGGAAAGAAAAAAAACCTAAAACAACTAAATATTAACATGGTAACAGAGATAGCATCTATCCTTTTTGAATCGTCGTAGCAATTAGTGTTGTATTTAGGAGATATCATAGGGGTGGGAGCTTTATTGTTGTTATCATCCGTCGACATTTGAAATTGAATGAGAAAATTGACAGAAGATTTCGAGGAGTCAGCAGTCCAGAATGAATATTGAGGACTTTCTGAATTAGATGTTGATTAAAAAGAGGTCATGAACAGTGTAGGATACGAAGTCTGGAATGAGCGAACTTCAGCTCAAATTATTCAGAATGTTGAATTCAGGGTGACTAGACTTATCGTTGCGGACAAAATGTTGCAGTACATTATGGCGTAAAATATTTGTGCATCACCCATGTAAAAAATAATGGGAGAAAATCGGATTATAATTGATTTTTTTTGCGATTATTAATCTATTATAATGGCACTATTATAACCCTACTGTAATCACTTTTTAAAACAAAACAATGAAGGGTGTGAATGTGGATGTGTGACAGATGCTGGTGCGATTGATAGTAGATATGGACCTACACCAAACCCACACCCACCCTTATTCAATTTGGATCTAAAATAGTTAAATATTGATTGACGTGATGAGATTTTGCCATTGGAATGATTCTTAGTTGCAATAACTGTTTTCAACATGTAACCATGTTTGTGTTATATTTGTTCCTACAAATGATGTATTATGTTTGTTATCATTGCATACGTCATAAGTGTTAAGATGAATAAATATGACTTCACTGATCCAATGGAAATAAAGAACAAATTTTATTCTGAAGTATTAGAACTAAGAAAACGAAACTAATCAATATATCTATTATATTTATTAAAAAATATGTTTGATTTACAAGAAATCAGAATATAAAATAAATGTATATGATATGCTATTTCATCATGAGGAAGAGTATCAAAATAACTGTAAAGATAAAACGAGTATTGTCGATGAATTTTAACTGGGTGTGGGTGTGGGTGGATGTGGGTGTAGTTGAAAGGAATACCCAAACCTACATCCACACACACACCCACACCCTCTTAAAGTACTTTTCAAGTAGCCTAAAGCATCGTCCAAGTAACTTCAAGTAACTTCAAGTCGAAAAATACGCTGTTTCCCCTTGCCCACACTCCACCCCACATCCGCACCCACTCTCTATCTCGTTCCCATTAAAATTTATTCGAAAAATGGTAACCTGTCTTTTATTTTGGATCAGATAATAGAAGCGGATCTTATGTCATTAGTTTTTGTTATTCTTAGATTGGAAAGAATAAGAAAAAAATCGTTACTCGTACTTCACATATGGCAACAAGTAATATATGAGACTTATTATTAACAATAACGACTGACAACTATGATAGACACTTTGAAATATTGTCATTTGTTTGGCTCGATAAAGATGTAAATACAAATGAAGAAAATCGGAGAATACAACAGAAGCTGAGAGAATTAATTAATTTTATTTAAAATATTTGATGATGTTACAAGATGTGAACAATGGATTGGACGAAGAATACAGTAGAGTACAGAAGAAAAAATGATATTAATCATTTCTGGCAATTATGGATGTAAAATTATACCACGTATTTATGCATTGTCACAATTAATTGCAATCTATCTCTACTGTCGTGTCGAAATGACCAATGAACAATGGTTACAAAATTATAAAGAGAAGATAACTCTGTGATGAAATTTAGTAGTAAGACATAGTATCATTCTCATTGTTCGATAACTATAATGTGGATCGCACCTTACAGTAAACTCTAAAATATAACAGAACTTTGTGTTTGTCACATTTGGATAAAAGTAGACTTTCAAGTCTTCCAAAAAAAAACGTATCAAAGTTGGCAATATAGCACACCTCACTAGTGGATATGGAATATTTATGTTTTGTTGTTGTCACGTATTTTTCGATGACAAGCATGCACTGAGGTCAAGGGCTAACACATTATTCGTCACGGAAGTCTCGATAGGCGACCAAGCTTGGAATAATTTTGTTCGTGTCTATGATCACGATCGAAATAGGTGCTCACTACATGTGCAATAGTTCATTTGATATCTCCTGTAAGTCCGTAGGTTTTTTCTTCTAATACCAAGTCTGCTCCGTCAGAAACTCAAATTTGAACTTCTCTATCGACTTCCCCTTGACATCATTAAGTCGACTTGCACAAAATATTCTTTTATTTTTCACTGAACGGTAAAGGCTAACATTTCGTCGTTGCTTAACGTCGATGACAATAAAAACTAAACACACGTACAAATTAATTAGAAACTTACATTCGACACTAGTTTTCAATAAGCATATGTTTTGTCTCGCAGCAACTGGAAACCATGTTTTGCTTTTCTAGGTTTGTCCGATCATTACAAACTCTGATGAATTAGTAACATGGATATCGAATAATCAATATGAACGTGAAATGTTAGAAGCAATCAGTATCAGTTCTATGTCCATTGTTACAAGTGCTGCTGCTGTCGATGCTTCTTCTTCTTCATTTTCATCCACTAAATTAAATGGTAACTTTTTATGGTCGCAAATATGTATTGAAATGTTATTATGAATGAAAGGTAGAGATAATGAGAGCGCGCATGACATTGATACGTTGATTGCATTTCGATTTTTTATTTGTGACTTGTAAGAAAAGTTAAAAGAATTGAATCTGGTGATTAGCCATCTTGAACCGATTACACATGTCTATCGTAATCAAGCTTTACTAACTGATGAATTTGATGAAATAAGATCGATTATTGGTCAATATATATATCATTAAATAGTTTTCTTTCAACAGCACTAGATCAACAAATGGCATTTAGATTTATTCCATCGATTTCTACTGCAAATAAGCAAAAAAAAATACTTTTTGAAATTGGCTCTTCAACTAAAAATGTGAAACCATATGAAAATATTTCTTCCTATAGTTATTTTCAAATAGAAGCTGAAGTTCTATTTATGTTAGGATCTATCTTCAATATACAAAAAGTGTTATGAAACAAATTGATGTGTCAATCAGTAACTTTCGATTATAGTCGATGAATTGTATTTTAAACAGAGATGCTTCCTAAACGCCTTCGAAACTACCTATTATTTCTCAAAATGCTTCGTAATAACAATAAGTTAACATAGATTATACCTTTTTACTTCTATTTTCTATTGTTTGAATAATATGTATTACGA